TGGAGAGGCTCTGGGCTATTGTGTAGAGCTACCAGTTCTGGACTGCAAAAATCCACCAGCAACTCCCAGGGGACATTTGTATTTTTACAGGGAGGACCTGGGAGACCTATTATTGCAGATGGTCTTTTAAGAATTATTCCCAAGTCTAAATGACACAATTAGGCACAACTGGAGATTCAGGGAATATAAAACATCAGCAAAATTTTGTGGTTACAATATATATTTTTGCTCCTTCTCACATGCCCCCATACACACACATATCATCCACACTTAGTCACACCCTTCTCAACTAGGCTGGCAGCACTAGCCAGAGGGACAGAAGTCTGGATCCAAGGACAATTCAAAGAGTGGGCAGGCTTCAGGACCGCTTTTATTCCCCAAAGTCCTTGCTTTGTTAATTCATAAGTCTGATAGTTGTTGGCAGGACTTGAGGAGGGATTGTCCATGTGCTCAGGCCCAATTTCTTTGGTCTGGTTCAGGTGACATGTTTTTTTCCTATGTTTTCTTTAACTACTGGATTTCTTAATTACTTCCCCTAAGGATTTTTTTAGGTATATCAGCTTCAGCCTAGTTTCACAAAGACCAATGAAAAATAAGGTAAACTGGTTCATCAGTATACTTATTCTTTACCGCAACTAACCGGTGCAGCTGATGTCACCAACTGTGACACGAAAGGTGAAGTTCGGCTGATGTGCTTGTCCTTCAGCTTTCAGTAGGTCATAGACAGGTGTTTTGCCTATGCGTGTCCCATACTCTTGTAGCAGGCTGATCGGGGTCTTGCCAGGATTGGACGCCAGCATTTGCTCTATACTGAGGAAAACAGGGAGACAACTATGAGTATTAGAGCTATTCTTCCTTGTTTTCAATGTTTCTGTATCTTCTGTGATCTCAAACATTAAGGCAGCTTTTCCCAGCGTAATACCCTCCAGATATGTTGGGAAACAACTTTGACTCCCCAGCTAGTACAAGTAAAGACTATGCTACCAGAGGTATTAAAAGGTATAACTCAACATACAAGGGGAGCACCAGATTGAGGAAGACTATTCTATAGCAAAGAATGATCATCTTTCTTTCAACCCCATTCCAAAGCATCTCCATCTTTATCACTGACAGAACAAACTAAATTCCTATAGTGAGTTCCTCAGTGACAATAGGATTAAACTCCTCTTCAACAAAAGATTTATCACAAAATGAACTCTCCCATCCATGTTGATCTGTCAGAAAAATCCAGTGGGAATAGAATAAATTCAAGTAGACTAGAAACTACAAATTTTCACCCCTATGAGTGCTTTAATTAAACATGGAGCAACCATTTAGTTCTAATGGAAATCTATATGATAACACATAACCCTGTGTTTTGGAACCAACTGGATCACAGTCCAAGAAATTTATCTAAGCATATTTATCCATATAGTATGGCTGTATTACTATTATCCTTCTCATCTGTTTCACTACCTTTTCTTATTGGTATCGTTATTATGAGTATTACTTTGTTATGATTATTATTACTTTGTAGTTTTGCATGTACACTGAGAGCTTATGCACCAGAGACAAATTCCTCATGTGTTTCTGGGCCAATAAAATGTTCTATTTCTAATCAGTCCTATTCCTGCTTCTAAGGCAGTAAGATTGAAGATATCCTGGCAACAATATGGACTTAACTATACTGTTAAGTATAGAAGTGAGATTTCCTGGTGGCTTTTCATCCAAAAACTACCAGGCCCACCCTGCTTATCTTCTAAGCCCAGACAAGCGGCATGAGAATAGTACACACAACGACATTTATACATTATGAATTAACCACATCAATTAAATCTCTATCCCATGTACGAAAGAGAAAAATGCAGATTCTGTTTAATTCAAAGCTATGTTCCATTCTTTCCTGCTTGCTTTCCTTCTGCTGATCAGGAATGTCACACAGAACTCAAGCATCCCGTAACCCCAATATGAGACAGTAGCCATCACAAAGTTTAACCCGTGCCAAGCTTAGGCAGGATTTCAGTTCACATAATCCTTAGCCAGCAACATGCTGGGCGGCGTGGGGAGGCTGAGTTAATTAAACTATGTTGTGATGCGGCTCCTGTAAACCTAACAAGATGGTTTCTGCCATGAATGGACGGATGCTGGTGATAGATAGATATAGATACACCGTATATCTCTCTTTATATGTATATATATAGAGAGAGATATCCAAGGCCCAGGATATCTCGCCAAAACACGCCTTATATTGCAGCATGGTGACGGATGGCAGACCGGGCCTTTGGACCGTTTGGATTGTCTCAATGGCACCCGAAACACGTTCCTTGGGGGGGGTGTTAATCTGCAAGGGGCGGGGCTTGCCCCTTCGTCTCTTAGCAACGGCCCCAAAGAGGCGGTGTTATTCACCTGGGGAAGCTGCCGCAGCTCCTCACGTTTCCGCAAGGCTCCTCCGCCTCCTCCTCGCTCATTCCCTCCTCCTGCCCCGCCGCCGCCGCCGCCACAACTCCTTCCACCCTCCAGCCCGGCTCACAAAGGCCGGGAGAGAGGAAGCGATAGTCTCCTGTCGCCTCAAAAATGCTACGTGGCGCATCCTGGAAGCTGGAGTCCACACGAAGACTACCGCCACAAGGCAACATTGACAAGAAGACTACGCATCCCGTGAGACCTTGCAGCATAGGGAGGCACAGAGTGGCTTCTCTTTCGATACGCTTCAATGCATTATGGTTGCTCCTGCGCACGATGGGAGTCGTAGTTCTCCTGTTGTAATTTTCCAAGCTGTAACATTGGACTAGACATAAACATACCCCAAAGGATGCGGGCGCGGTTCGAGGAGGAATAGTTTCGCTATTACAAGTACCACGTCAGGAATAATAATACATCAAGATGATTAAATGATCAAAACCTGCGTGTCATCACTTTTTAGCTCTAATCCCTTCTCACATCTCTTCCCCAATTGCTTAACAATGGAGGATGATCCTGTAGTTATAATTCCAACAAAGTCAGAAGTTTTGTTTAGTGGCTAAGCTTGCTTGGCACACTTACCCATACTTAAGTGAATTCACCCATTTTCTGGGTTCACTGAATGATGAAATAAGCTTGTTTGGGTTCATTCAGCACACTATTAAAATGTGAATTTAATAGTTTCCTTTTCTTGTGCAAATGTAGCTAAGAAGGGGTATACATCATTTGCTGAATTTCTGCAAATCCATTAACTTTAGCTTCTCTATTTTTACATCCAAATGTATGTAACTCATGCAGTGTGCCCTTGTGGAGGTGGTACATAGCATTAACAATGCTAAAGATACATTTCTCCCAAAAAGGCTTGCAGTTTAAAACATATAGACTGGGAATTTTAAAAAAATCAGAGGTAAGAGATAATATCAGAAATATGACCTTAGTTACAATTCATTACTATTTTTCAAAAGAAGGCTGATTTTTTCAGTTGGAAACAAAATCATAGATTAAGTTGAAGGAGATGATATTGAACTTAGAGGAAAACCTTTGTGCTATATTGTATATTGCACAACTTGTTCAGTTATATGTTCAGTTAGGCACCAGGTCAGTATCGGACACAGGCAGCCAAATATTATGACACATTGTGCACAAGAAAGGATTTTGATTCAGCTTATGGGTCATCTACAAGTCAGTATTTCTTTTATCCTTAGGACAGCTTTGCCTATTAACTGATTTAAAAAAATAGAAGCAAGCACACTCTAAAGTATGGGAGCCAATTTAATACATCTGGTTTCTCTGAGTTAGAGCTATCAGATCAAAACTGTCACTGTAGAAGTCAATGAGATTTTTGCAACCCAGATCTGGTAGTCTAGCTCACTGATGGCGAACCTTTGTGGCTCAGTATGTTAAAAATTCAAAATATTCCTAACTTGATTCTGCTGACATGTCAGCCCCCCCCCTCCAAAAAGAGAAACAATTTTTTATATATTCATTTATAGTTCAATCTACTTGTTCATACAAATGAAAAAACTGATTTCATACAAACTCTGATAGTGCCCTCATTCTGGATTCTGTGGTTGCAGATATTCTCTGCACTTGCGCCTTGAAAATGAGCTTCACTGCAATCTGTGCAGTGGTTGGAAGACACCTGATCTGCATAGCTGTCATGTTTCTATCAAATTTTGTAAGTTCTCTATTTCATGTCACCACCAATCACAATTCTGAAGAGAGATCATGTGCTGATACAAACGGGGAGAATCCATTTTAAGGTTTGTGTGGTGCAGAATCTCATATTTCTTGTATTCATGCTCATTCAAACAGGGAAAAGAGTTGTCAGATTTTCATGGATGCTAGCATGTCGCCCCAAAACAAAGCATATCATAGGTTCACCATCACTGTCTTAGCTATAGAATGGTCATTCTCCAAATGTCATGTTATTTTGCAACTAATAGTTCAGTAATCAGTTTCTCAGTCTTCAAGGAATATATGGGGGGTGTTAAAATGCATCTGTAAGGATATGAAACAGCCACATTTAGCCATGATTACAGGATAAATCTCACAAACCTCAGTGGGACCCAAGGGTGCCTTTCTTGATTGGTTTATTGGGATTCTCCTGCATGTATTGGTTCAAAGATGATGATTTCCAACGAAACACGATATGAAATATTTGATAACTGCCAACTGTATATGACCATCTGAAGCTGTACATCTTTAGTCGTTAGTCCCATTGAACTTGCGTCATCCAGCCTGCACAGACTCGGCTCTAACCAATATCCCTGAGAAGCTCAACTCCTTATCGCCCGCTAAGCCACATTTCTAACACTGAGAGGACTCAGAAACGAGTCAAGAAAGTGCTGGGAGAGGATTGGCATGTTCCAATTTCGGAGCAGTTTCAGGACTACATTGCCCTTAAGTCAGTGCGAGGGTCCGCGTCTTTTAATTGGCTCCGAGAGATACTTCCGGCTTTGTGTCTCCTCCAATTCGTTACGTTTCTCCCGCCTCCGCTTCCTCCCCCTGTCCTCCTTCTCGTCCGCCTCCTGTTCTTTCCACCCCCCCACCCCCACCTCTCTCTCTCTCTCTCTCTCTCTCTCTCTCTCTCTCTCTCTCTCTCTCACACCCCACCCTCCTCCGTTCCGATCAGCACACGCCCCATGATTGGCTGAGCCTCGCCGGCGCAGGGCCGCAATTGGATCGGCGTGGCAGACCGGCGCTAAGCTGCGCTGGTGATGGAGGGAGCGCTGTTGAAATGGACCAACTATATTTCAGGTGAGTGGGAGTGTTCCAGGCAGGCCTGGGTCCAGGGTAGCGAGTAACGGGGAGCTCGAATGCGGGTTCTCCTCACTCCTCGCCCGCCTGTATCCTTTCCCGTAGCCACGCAGCCCTAATAGAAATCGGAAGAGCATTCAGCAGCCCAGGCTCCTTCCATCTTTGTCCCCGCAGGCTTGTACTCCGTTTCTCTGTGTCTCGCTCTTCCTTATTCTTCCTGAAATGCAACCTACCTCTTCTTCCCGGGTTAGGAGGGTCGATCCATCAACATTTGAATGGATCAAAGACTGTTTAAGCGCTGCACAACTGGAAGAAATTAAACCGGGTTTCTCTAGCTTGGAAACGCAGTGAAATAATAAACTTCGACCATTGCCAGGTTGCCTGTAGATGTGAAGAACTACATTTTGTGAAAAAGTGACTCTATTTTCTTGAAAGAAATAAAGGACAAACCCACAGTTTGGGGGCAAATCTGGAAGAGGTTCATAAAGATAGACAATAATAATTCTTTGTGTTTATAACTTTGCTTTACAAAGGAAAATTCAAGAGCAAACCCACAAAATTAGAATTAATTATTGATTAATTAACAAATTGTAATTAAATATTAATTATTTAATAAATTGTTTAGTAAATAAATTTAAAGTACAGCTTTCTGAAATAAACTGTTCTTTATAGTAAAGGATGTATGGTCACTGTATTGATAGCACTAGTCTTCATTGCAGTGTATATGTACCTTTTTTGTTCTACTTAAAGAACAAAATATTTATGGCCAATTTCTTTATTCTTGGAATGTATACAGTATATAAAAGCTTGCTATGGGCATCCCTTTAATGCAGGGTAAGTAAACATTTGGTCCCCAGTACAATGTAGTTGAAAGATAATAACTAGTAAGTCCCAAGTTCGTGTTTGCCCTCAGCCCTGAATGCTCACTGGGGTATTGAGCTGGGCATACACTCTGGAGCAGCTTATTGCACAGATGGAGATAAGGCCACCTTGAGCTGTTGGAGGAAACATGGGATATAAATAAATAAGGTAAAATAGGAGGGGAGATGAATTGATCATTTTTTTTATTTATAACTACTGAACAATACATTTTCTCTTAGGTAGATTATACAAAAAAATCAACGCCTCATGTGATTGAATAGAAAAATAGAATAAGGCCCCAAAGAGACTGTATAAGGAATAGAACCTAAAATATAGTAATACTGTCATTTCATGCAGGGAATTAGAATTATCTTCTATAATCTGGGTTTAAAAGCTGGGCTCAAAATCCTAGAATACTAAGGAAAAGAGAAATGTATTTGCCTGGTGCCAAAATCACAATAATCTGGAACAGACAAGATTCCTCCTGGAGGGGATTCCACACAGTAAGTAGATTGGGGGCTTAATCATAGAGATTTCCTGAATTGAACACTTTACTTTCCTGTCACTGATTCTTCCCTAGATGGAGTGGAATGGAAGCTATTTGTGGGGATAAATCTGCTGTGGGTTCTGTCTATTGGGCCAGGTCTTGGGACAAAACCCAAGTACCTTTAAACTAGAGAGAGTGAAAAATATTATTATGGTCAATTGATGTTTGTATCTGGTGGTTTATGAATAAGCAGCCCTCAACAGCATGGTTGCTTCTAATTTAATTATAAATAGTATTTTTAAACAATAAATATGGAGAGGCAAGGAGCCTGGCATAAATTAAGAATAGTACCATAAGGACCATGTTGTCCACCCTATTCAATTTAGTTCAGAAATTCCTGGGAAATTAATCTAAATCCAAACATATGGGGAAGTTTAGTTGGTTTCCCTTGCTCCCCATCCCCCACTGCAAACAGTTTACAAAGTCCATTTTGCCCTCTTTTTTCTTCTTCTCTGGCCTCAGGTTGGCAGCCACGATATTTTGTGTTGGAGAATGGCATCCTCTCCTATTATGACTCTCAGGACGATGTGGGCAAAGGCAGCAAAGGCAGCATCAAGATGGCTGTATGTGAAATCAAAGGTAGGCAGTTTCAGTACTGTACATGGAATAGAAAAGATGTAACATAATTTATCTTTTCCAAACTTTGCTTCATTCGGTATTGTGCATTGTCTTCCGTTTTCTGCTAAGGACTGCAGCAGCTTCACCTTGTTGCTTTCTTTATTCCAGAGCTGTTTGCTGCTCTTCCTTTAAAGGCCTGTGGTTTCTTACCTTCATTAGTTGCTTTCTTATGGAATGATAGTTGTCAGCCATTCAATCAAAATCAGATTTTTTTATTATTATTCCTTGTTTTGGTGCCTTTGAATTAGCCTTGATTTATGGCCTTTGCCTTGACAAATTCATGCAGCTTTCTTGGCAACATTTTTGGAATTGTTTTGCCCTTGCCTTCCTCCTAGGGCTGAGAGGGAGTGACTGGCACATGTCACCGGTTTTGTACCTAAGACAAGAGTAGAATTCACAGTCTTCCAGTTTCTTGCATGATATCTTAACCACTGTGTAAAACTGGCTCTCTTGAAGCCCAGATTATATAGTTAATATCTAGGGACCCCAGATATGGTCCATCATGCTTTTCAGCCTTCAAACAGTGGACGGGTAATCTACTGGCAATCATGCAAGTTAACGTTGATTCATTGCATGCCGCAGAGCCTAGATTATACAGAATTGACCTGGATCTGCTGGAATTCTAACATACCATGTAGAGATTACATGACGTCATGCCTCTAGTCTGGGCACCCCCAGTGTTCTTTTAAGTATCGAACCACAGGTAGTCCTCAACTTATAATCACGGGCTTGGAATTGTGGTTGTAAGTTGTTGTGGTCATTAAGCAAGACAGCCACAAGACTGTTTTACTGAGTGATCACAAACCCAGTTTTCCCAATTACGATCATTAAGTGGATGGAACAAAAGAGCTTCCCTGCCTGCATGAAAGGGAACTCTTGCTGTGGGCCAGAGAAATAAAGTTTGGATCCTGAAGATCCGAGCTCCATTTCTCCAGCCCATCACAGATCTTCTCCCCTCTTCCCCCCATGGTCAGAAGGGAACTGCTGTGCTGGGCTAGAGAAAGGAAGCTCGGATCTTTGGGAACCCGATTTCCTTTCTCTGGTCTGCCACAGGAATCCCCCCTCCCCTCTACGTGCTAGACTTTTGAGGTTTCAGAAATACTAAGATGTTAGCTTTCTGGCTAGAAAGCTAGAGAACACAGTGTTTCTAAACACTGCATTTGCTAGTTTTCTAGCCAGAAACTAGAGAATACAATGTTTCTGAAGTGTAGACAGAGACCCTATCTAGCCTTCAGAAACACTGCATTCACTGGCTGTCTGGCTGCGCTTGCATCAGCTTGTCACACCTGTCAGCAGCTGCACAAAAAGGTAAAAGTAAATGGACCCAGGCATTGTAAGCATGGTGGGGTGAGGAGAAGCCTGGGCCTTCTGGGTATGGTGGGGCATTGGTTAGGAAGGAAGCAGTGAGCAAGTAAAGACCAGGGGAGTAGCAGATTTGTATGCAGTGGTTGGGCAGCTGAGATGGAGAGGGAAGATACATGAGAAGCCTTCAGTGGTTGTAACTTCAGGTGGGATTTATAACTCAGTGTGTTCAGCACCATCTTTAAATTCAAACGGTACATCAAAGACAGTCTGTAGGAGGCTTGTGCATTTGCCAAATAAATGGGGGAAAAAATCTGCAAATATCAATAAATGAAGTAGACAGACTTTATCTCTCGTTACCAAAAACGCAAAGATTGCATTTGGACATCTCACTGTTGGCTCCAAAAACTTAAAACGGTGTTCTAAAACCTCTTACTCCTAAAGGCGTTTTCATTCAGTTAGGCTAATTTTTATTAGGTTGACGTTCTTCATCTGGAGTGTTCTGGTTGGGTTCTTCGCTATTATGGTCTGTGCTTCATCCAAATCCCATACCTGAGGACATGGTATTCCTTTAGCCCTAGATCAAGGGTGTTAAACTGCCGGCCTGTGCAGGCTGGATGCGTCATGGCGAAACCGCGCCCACCCCATTGCCAACAATGGCAAAAAAGTCACGATACGTCGTGACACGTAACGTGATGTTGCGAACTTAATGCCCTAGATCAGGGATAGGCAACCTTGGCTCTTTTATGATTCGTGGACTTTATTTATTTATTTATGAGACTTATACACCGCTTTAAGTGCAAGCACTCTCTAAGCGGTGTACACCAGTAAGCAATGTATAAATATATTTACATTGCCCCCAACAATCTGGGTCCTCATTTTACCTACCCCAGAAGGATGGAAGGCTGAGTCAACCTTGAGCCAGTGAGATTTGAACCGCTGACCTGCTGAACACAGTCAGCTAAAGTGGCCTGCAGTACTGCACTCTAACTTCTGCGCCACCTCGGAGTTGAAGTCCACGAGTCATAAAAGAGCCCTCAGGAATTCTGGGAGTTGAAGTCCACAAGTTATAAAAGAGCCAAGGTTGCCCTGCCCTAGATGATCTCTGAGTGGTGAAAAGATAGCTTTCTTTTCCCCTCTTAATTCTTCATCTTATAGAAGGTGGGGATTTCAATTGGTGGCCATGAAATCATCTTTGACCGAATAAGAAAAAGTGTCACCCTATCCGTGGCAGAGTGTGTGGGGGGACGGTAGCGATTGTATGCTCGCTTTTATTTTCCTTTTATTTCTGTCACCCCTCCCTGTAGTGCATGCAACCGATTCCACTCGTATGGAGCTGGTCATCCCAGGTGAGCAGTACTTCTACTTGAAGGCAGGAGGTGCTGCTGAGAGACAGAAATGGCTGGTAGCTTTGGGAAGCTCCAAAGCCTGCCTCGGGGATAGCAGAAGCCAGAAAGAAAAAGGTTGGTTCTTTGTCAATAGCTTTGTGTTAATGAATCGGTGGGCTCAAGATTACGGGGTTGTTGATAGAACTAGTTAGTACTGAGTGAAAACACTTGGTCAACTTCAGGGAATACTTTACTCTAATTAGCAAACATATCTGGGTTTGTTGAGTCATTTTCAACCTCTCCCCTCCATTTACACCCATGTTTGCATATAGGGATTTGGCTCTCCTCATAATAGTCAGATTGCTGACTGGCTACAGCGGGCTAGAGTAATTGATGTCAGGATCCAAAAAGGAGAGCATAGTGTAGATACAGCACTGAATGTGCTGTTGAGTCCCCAGTGCTAGTTTTCATGATTTGGACTATTTTTAGATACAGGTAGTCCTTGGCTTACAACAGTTCATTTAGTGACCATTCAAAGTTACCACGGCACTGAAAAGTATGACTTAAGACTATTTTTCACGACCTTTGCAGCATCCCCTTGATTATGTGATCAAAGCTTGACAATTGACTCATATTTATGACCATTGCTGTGTCCCCAGGTCATGTGATCACCTTTTGTGACCACCTCACCAGCAAAGTCAATGGGGGAAGCCAGATTCGCTTAATAACCGGGTTACCAACTTATCCATTGCAGCAATTCACTTCACAACTGTGACAAGAGAGGTCATAACATGGGGCAAAACTCACTTAACAAATGCCTCACTTAACAGCAGAAATTTTAGGCTCAGTCATCGTAAGTCGAGGACTATTTGTATTTCAGCAATAAAATGAGAGAAAGAACAGAACTGATTCCCCTTTTGAAAAGCAAGTCTTTAGGATTTGTTTTTAAAAAATCCATTATTTGAATGATTGAACACAGACAGTCTTACAGACAACTAGCGTCTCCCCCATTTATTTGTCAGTCTCTGAGGATCTCCAGGAAAAAGCACTGCAGCTGGTTCAGAACTTTGTTCATGCTCAACCCCCCCCCCCCCAAAATAAGACTCGATGAGAGTAAAAAATGAAGGGCTTAATGTGCAGAGAAAGAAGAATGAATACCAGCATTGTTATTGACTGGGGTCACTTGTCACAATAAACCATCGTTTACAACAGGCATGTCAAACTGCCAGCCCGCAGGCCGGATGCATCACCCTGAAACCAAGCCCAACTCATTGCCGGCAGTGGGGGAAAAGTCTTGATATGTCGCGCAACATCACGTGACATCGTGAGTTTGACATACCTGGTTTATAAGGTTTTCTGAATCAGCAAACGTGACATAGTTCATGTGACACATCAAGGTTAATTTAGCACTATTCATGGGTAACATCTTCTCACAGACCTATATGTCAACTTCCCACTGTATGGTGTTGATGTCAGATGGTTACTTTTACAACAGCTTGTCATCCGCTACTTAACTTTTTCCCCCTTTAATTTGAGCAGTCCCAATTTCAATGGGGGAAACCCACATAGGAACCCCACAAAGGTCTAAATCACTGAGTATAAAAGGGGGGAGTGTTAATCCCTCCAAGTAATCCCCCTTTAGGACGGGAAAAGAGATTAGAGCAGCTTTATGTTGGTGTCAGGAAGGCTGTATACTATATAGCTTATCCAACAGCTGTTTCTATGTCTAGCAGATTAGTGGCAGCCCTTGGGGGTTTTTCAGTTTGTACTCAGCCACATTACTACAGCACAAAGCATGAGTTCATATTTTGGTTAAAGCATTCTTAGCCCTAACCTACACTATTACCTAGTTTTGGATCCATAGTAAATTAATTACAGGCAAACTTGACTATTGCCCGGATTTACACCATTTACTTAGACAAAACAAGTCACAACTTAATGCAGCTTGAGACCTCAGCTGCTTTGTTAACTTTTCCTTGTATGAGAGGAACCCAAAGCCTGCGCTTAGAATACTTTTAATGTATATTTGGGTAATTTATAGACTGTTCTTATGATCCTTCATCTTTTACTCAGTAGATTGTTAATGTTTCCAATGTTTTGTAATAGGTATTTCATTTTAATAGACCATTCTGAAATTCTACTTCACTAAATAAATATTGGAAACGTGAGTGCACGTATGCACGTAAGTTATGTGTACATTTCCCAGAATAAATACCACTAAGATGGTGGCTAAGAGTAAGCCTCTCTTTGGCAGATTGGGTGATAAATGTTTTCTTCCATCCCACCCACACAGATACAGTTGTGCACCAACTGCAGTTAACATACTTTTTCCTTCATTACTTCACAGAAAGTCACTAAATCAGCTTTCCTTTGCTTCATCATCTCCTAGTTTCTTCTTCATATTGCTGTGTTAAAGAATGATCAAAGTCTGGCATACTTCAATAAAGGTTATGTGCTATCTGTGGTACCAGCCAGAGTCTCTACCTCAATGCTGATTTTCAGTGTTTAAAATCTTTTTTTTTCAAGTGCTAAATCTCCCATGTCTCACGGCACAGAGTGACAATGTTCTTAGAAAACAAAAATAAGTCACAAAAGTGTTTGAAATGTCCTTTCAAAATTGTGCATACGTTCACTAGTCCTAGAAGGTAACTCAGCCGAGCTTAATGCAATGTGCAAGCTTTTTTTTAGAAAAATTCTTCAGAGCATGAACACATCTAACCACAGTTCTTTAAAGCAGCTCTTTGTTCCTGCATCACATTAGATGCTTTTGGATTTCAGAGATAAATTGGTGCCGCTTCATTGAAACAGAGGAAGTTGATTTGATTTTACTAATCTTTTTATATATTTATTTTTACTTTGTACTGGAAAAGGGTACATGAAACGAACACACACTGACAGTCTATATCACATTGCTTATTACGTCGTTTGCATTTTATTTTCAGTTTTGGTGCTATCCACAGATTAATACTCAAAAGATATTTGCATTTTGAAAGCACCGAAGGCATCCTAGAGGTTATTTTGATATGACCAAGGGAGCAAGCTTTTTCACTGGCAAAATCAGAACTAATTCTGATTCTGCTTAAGTCTTCTGTACTCTGTGGCGCTATATGAATGTTTTTTCAATGTCTTGTGTAAATTTTGCTTATCTATCCCAGATCTGGACATAAGCAACGAGTCCCTCGGAAGAAAACTGTCTGAACTGCGTCTATATTGTGACGTGCTGACACAGCAAGTGCTAGCTGTGCAGGATGCAACACAACCTCAAGAGAATGGATCTCCTTTGGACATACAGGTAGGGCGGGAGAGAATCTAGAGCAGAGGTGTCAAGTTCAATTTTACTGAGGGCCGCATCAGCATTGCGGTTGCCCTTGGGGGGCTGGGTGGGTATGGCCAGAGTGGGTGTAGCCTATTGGGTGGGTGTGGATGGAGTGGGTGTGGCCTATTGGGTGGGCATAGCCAGTTCTACATCATTTGCGTCAAGGGTGCCTGTGGGGGCCTGGGCAGGAGTGGGACAGATCTGAGGGTCTCTGGCAGAAGGGAGTGGGACTGGGGCAAGTGCCAAGGCATGGTCCACCAGGGCAAGTGCCAAGATGACCACCACAATATTGTTCATTGGCTCCCGGCTAGACTGGGCCAGGGCCAAGGCAGCGGGGGCCGTTCCCTCACTTTCTAGGATGGCTTCGCGGGCCACATGAGACCACTTTGCAGGCCACATCCTACCCCCGGGCCTTGTGTTTGACATGTCTGATCTAGAGCAATTACAAATTTCTGTGTTTGCATGTTTCAGCCAAGTCTGTTAAGAAATCTGTGAAATATTAGTTCTCTGACAACATTAGCAAGTTTATTTGTGATCACTGTAGGACCGAGACGGAAAGCTGAGAGCTCTCCAGGCCTCCTGGTCTTCTAGTAGCTTCAGCCAACAGAGCCAATGGCATTTTGTAGTCCAGAGGTCTCAGGAGCCAGTGACACAGCCAGTCATTGCTATAGTGCCTTGGAATTAAGGGTGAAGAGCCCACACAACAATCCAAATATCCAAGGGCCACTAAGAATACTAGATCTGTTTTATGGCTATGTAAAGTAGATGTTCCTATGTTTTGGACATGGTCTGACATAAAGGAAGCCCGGCTGATCCAGGACATATTTTCCTCTTGCTTGGAAGATCCAAATGCTGCCACTATTCGTATTTATCAACAAAGGTCACAACCCACCTGCAGTTTCTTTGCAAGCACCATTTAAATAGATGATATCTGTTGGTTTCATTGAGGCTTAACTACCATATATCCCACTTTGTCTTCCTTAATGCATTAATGCATCTGGCACAGATCAGGCCCACCTGTTAAAGTTGGACATGGCATTAGAAGCCAGTCACAAATTCAGCAAAAGAAAAATGTGTCAGTTGACAGGTAAATCTGTGATGTATCATCAACAGTGCAGCTATTTAATCTTTTGGACATAGGGTGACTTATCAATTGATCTAAGTGCTAAAATAAAGTTCTCAGGGTTTTTTGAACAATTAATTCTCAATCTTTCCATCATTCCTCCAGAAATAATTAACAATCTTTAAACATTTTTTTCAATCAAAGGCTTAATGCCAAAAGTATGTTTTCAAACAGAAACACTGGACTATTATCCCATTCTTACTGGCAATGTTGGAAAAATACCATGCCCCAGTGGCCTGAATCTAATGTCTTTATCTCTTGTATGTGCAACTGCCTTGGCTCTCCAGCCTGGATGGTTTGTTATTTAGCACAGCACCTGTTCTGATTGCATGTGTAGGGGATATAATTTTGAAGCGTTTGAAAGTGTTGAATTTAGTTTTACTTCCAGTGTAAATAACTTAAAATTAGAACTTAATCAGAATTTAAAAAAGATAGAATTCATGCTGCTTCTGTGTACCACATTTGTAAAGCAACAACCTTAGGGAGTTTTCCCACTTTATTTAAAATGCATTGATGCTCCTATTTTCTCCATGGAACAAATTTTTGGAATGGGAATAGAGGTGAGCTTGTCTCAGTATTGCTCTACCACTGCTAAAGTTTCAGGTGATGACGTAGTATATAGGTAATGGCCCTTTTTCTTTTACCAACATTTTAAAAGGTGGGCTTGAGATCTTACGGATTGCAGACTCCAATGGAGAATCAAGTACTTTGCTGTAGTTTTGCATTCTTATTTAACTGCATTACAAGCAAAGATCCGGGGAGAGGAGAGTGACTTCAGGAAAGCGTGCTTGATATTGATATTTGATATTGATATTTATCTGAAATGGTATAGGGCAGGGGTAGGCAACCTTGGCTCTTTTATGACTCGTGGACTTCAGGAATTCTGGGAGTTGAAGTCCATAAGTCATAAAAGAGCCAAGGTTGCCTACCCCGGTATAGGGTTTCCTGCCTGAGCAGGGGGTTGGATTAGAAAACCTCCAAGGTCCCTTCCAATTATTATTGTTGATGCTATTGTTGTTATTGTTGTTATTATATTTCCTGTGTTCTAATAGAATTATAAACCTTGTAAAGCCAGTGTTGATTTGCTGAAGTGACACAGTCCTTTCATGTAGCTGAATGAAGAGTTAATGTTCCTATCTAGAGTTGCTTGTTGGGAAGCCCAACCCATTTGGGCAGGAAAGGGGCATGTAGAGAGCAACTGAACATTCGAATTGGGTCTTTTAGCTCTCAAGCCCCCGCCCCCCCCAATTGGGGGGTGGGACTCTGAGGATTATGGTGGAAAGGCCATCATGCAGTTGTGCTGCTTCACTTGTCTGTGCTCTCAATTCCCACCAGAAGATGAATGAAGCTTCGTCTTTATTGCGGGCAACTTGCAGTCAGTTCATCTCTACCCTAGAAGAATGCATGAAATTTGCAAATACTCGCTTGGCCCCTGAGCTGTATCATCCTTCAACAGTCCCTGAGCCTTCTGATTTTGTGGGCACTAAACTTCCACATTCCCACCGGGTAAGGCTACTTATTACTTCTTCCTATTCATATTCATTAGTTCTACCCTAATAAGAAGCTCAGTTGGGTTGCTTCTGAAAAGCTGTGTTTATGCCACATTGCCAGGAAAGAAATTGTCACACCATGGTGCTGTTTTTCATTCTCACAGATTTAATCAAGAATAGGCAACTTGATTCCACATAAATCCTTTTTTTTTAATTACTGCCCTCATGCTAGTTAGGATTTATGAGTTTTATCCCAAACATCTAGAAACCATCAAACTGGTAGTCCTGACTTAATTTCTTGTGGGAAATAATAACCAAATAACCATTCCAGAGGCATTTATCTTAATGTGAAATGAATGACATCTCAGAATGAAATAAATTCCTGATGCTGATCATTTTATATAATTCATCAGAATTCGTGAACATGCTGAAAAAGCTCATAATGCCCAAAGCATTTGTCTTTTGTTTTACATGTGAAATTGTGTAATTGTCTGTTCATAGGCATATCGTGTGTTTCTGTAAGTTAAAAAGCCATTCTAATTTAGAAATTCTATATATTTGTATGTCTGTGATTTATACATTATATTTAAAAAAAAGACAAGAGTAATCACTAGATCTCAGAATATGGAGAATTCACCTGACCAATATAGTCCCTTCAGTTATCCTGAGCATTGGCTATTTTAGCAAAGGCTAATGGGAGTTGTAGTGTAAAATATCTACAAGTTTTTTGTGTTGTGGAAGGCTCTCTTAAGAGAGGTTGGACCAACCCATTTTAAGTATAAAAGAAACTGCAAGTATTTTGACCTCTTAATTGCATCCATTATGTCTATAGTACATTAATGAAAACTTAACAATATATACCAGGGGTAGACAACCTTGGCTCTTTTATGACTGGTGGACTTCAACTCCCAGAATTCCTGAGCCCGCATGGCTCAGCTTGGAAACTTCTCCCTTTCCCCTCAGCATGGCTGGCTCAGGAATTCTGGGAGTTGAAGTCCACGAGTCATAAAAGAGCCAAGGTTGCCTACCCCTGATATATACAGACTTGCTCTAGTATGCATCCTTTCTTTTCAAATAATTTTATTAAGAATTATACATGAAAAGAATAAAAGTCAATGGTGTATGATGTAATAAGTATAGAAATCACAAACAAATATATAAGAAAAAGAAGAGGGAGGGAGGGAGCGGGTAAAAGGAAAAGAAAAGAAAAAAGGAATGAAAAATAAAAAAGAATTTCCCCTTCATCCCAGCAGCTAAAAACAATTTTAATAGCTTATCACCATTTGTTCCATTCTGTGCAAAAGCTTGGCTGAGAGATATTCAAAAATTTGCACTAACGATGTCTCCTCCACTTTCTTTACCCTCTGCCTCTATTGTCCAGCCTTCAAGTCTCCTGATCATAAAAAAAAAACAAAATAAAATCAATCTCCATTCTCCCGTGAGAAATTATCTTCTAAATAATTCAAAGTTATAATTCCAAATCCTGTCTGGCCTCTTAATCCGTCATTAACTTTCCAAAATCCATATACTAAGCACCCTTTTGCTGCATGGTTCCCCCCCCCCACACACAAATTATAAATTTTTAAAACTTTTAAAAATCAAATTCGCACCATTTTTTAAGAAGACGAAAACTCATCCGATGAATTCAGTAAAACCTTGCTACTCCAAAGGGTCTTAATCTCTCTAATATGCAAAGAATTAAAGAAAAAAACCCAAATTCAAAAAAAAAAGTGATTATAAGGCTTGGTCAAGCTTAGTGTCTATAAAGGCTGTTTTGCAGGTTTTAGCTTGAGGTAAATCCTGACTATCAGCCACTACATTTGTAAGCTGACTGTGGTAACGACAGTTTCCATGGTCTACTCATGAGGAGGGCCAATCCAGGGTCCTGTGGATGATCTCAACAATCTCCTTTGTTTTGGAGAGATTATGCTGACTCGGATCCAGTATCCAGTGGTGATTTCCCTCACAAAGCTGTCTTGCTAGCATCGTGCTGACAGGAAGTCTCTATATTCCTTAGAATGTAAAGTTGGAACAAAGTTACCGTTATAGACTCTAGAAAGAGTACAGAGAAGAGCAACAAAGATGATTAGGGGACTGGAGGCTAAAACATATAAGGAACGGTTGCGAGAATTGGGTATGTCTAGTTTAACGAAGAGAAGGACAAGGGGGGACATGATAGCAGTATTCCAATATCTCAGGGGCTGCCATAAAGAAGAGGGAATTAAGCTATTTTCCAAAGCACCTGAAGGCAGGACAAGAAGCAACGGGTGGAAACTAATCAAGGAGAGAAGCAACTAGAACTAAGGAGAAACTTCCTGACAGTTAGAACAATTAATCAGTGGAACAGCCTTGCCTCCAGAAGCAGTAAATGCTCCAACACTGGAAGTTTTTAAGAAGAGACTGGACAGCCATTTGTCCGAAATGGTGTAGGGTTTCCTGCCCGAGCAGGGGGTTGGACTAGATGACCTCCAAGGTCCCTTCCAACTTTACTACTACTACTACTACTACTACTACTACTACTACTACTACTACTACTATTATTATTATTATTATTATTATTATTATTATTATTATATAGCATGGCTTTCATTTTTAATTCTAAGAACTGCCATTTTCATACCTTGATCATATTGAGTTAGTTGTTTTTTTATTACCTAGGAAATGGATTATATCTGTCAAGAGGTCTATGACAATTCGCCACGGCCAGTTTGCTCTGGCCAACTCACCACGGGACAACGTGCTGCGGGACAAGAGTTACACTAATATCAAAGAAATGGTGGAATAGAATCATTAAAGAAAGGATTCCAAAGGAGGGGACAAAACGAAACGTGAATGACAAAAATTAAAAAAAATTTTTTAATGTATTTTAAATAATTGTTAAGTGGTCCCCCGGCAAGTTGGCTGTAGTGATTTGGGTGCGGCGAGTTGTCCCGTTCGTCTGTTTAAGCTGAATCCTATTCTGCTACGAACTGCAGTTATCTGTAGGCAGTTGTGAAAGGTGATAGGAAGTGAAGAAGTAATTTAGACTTGCTTCATGACGAGAAATAGACTGTATCTGTTTGTTTTTGGCATGGAACCTCCAGATCTTAGTTTGCTACTCTTGCTGATTTGGCTTGCACCAGTGTCTGGAGATGGGGCTCCCTGGGGGTCAACAGCTTGGGAAAGTACATCAGCTAAGTTAGGGGTCCTCAACCTTGGCAACTTTAAGACTTGTGGACTTCAACTCCCAGAAGTCCTCAGCCTTTGCCTTTGCTGGGTGAGTTCCCAAGGTTGGAGGCCCCTGAGCTAAGTAGTTGACATATGGTTTAAAAGCTGTCATCTGTGAGATTAAGCTCTTAAAACATCTAATAAACTAAAGAGAGACCATTTTTCCAGAGACTATGCAGCTAGAGAAAAAAAAGTCAAACTAGATTAATAATTTTAAAAATCTGAATGTGTAGTTGGTCACCTACAGTAACTATTCCCCCCAAACACAAAAAAACCCATTTGTGTTTGTGAAGTTGTAACTATCCATACATGTGCCAGTCAGAATAGCAGGGTATTACTTTGTGTTTATATCAGCAACTTTAAGACTCCACAAGCTTTGCTGGCCGAGGAATTCTGGGAGTTGAAGTCCACAAGTCTTAAAAGTTTCCAAGGTTGAGAACCCCTGGTTTATATCCTTACCATTGTATGTTTTTTTTTTCTCCATCCTTCAGGTTAGACGTTCTATGAGCCACACAGGCATCATTTCCTCAGACAGGTAAGCAGCCAGAATATCTCCAAGGTTTATTTTAGGATTGGTTAACTTTCCCAGAGAGTGTTTGGGGCCAGGGGGGTGGGGGTTTTTATGGGGGGGGGGGTTGCCCTAGTATGTTGGAAATAATCCCATGGAGTTAAGCATATTCTCTCTTTTCCATTGCTCTCCACTGTCCAATGCAAAAAATAAATAAATAAGGAAATTAAAATATTGAATGTGGGATATCTCATGGCAGTTATACTTTAGCAGGGGTAACTGGCAGCAGATATATCTTAGTAGAGATAACAAAGGATTTTCCACTAAGATTTAGACCTGCCAGACTTTTTCTTTTCTTCCTGATTACCTCCCTTTCTTAGATGAAATTCTGCTTGCAAAAGAACTCAGAAAGAAGCTGACTAATAAAGAGGGTGGATGCTATTAAAAACTTTCATTTTAAGAGAGTGGATTGCATTTAGCTTGACAAAACACAAGGCTCATAATTGTCTGCCTTTACAATTTGCCACAGCTAGTCAGTCCTCACTTACCAACCATTCATTTAGCGACCATTCAAAGTTGCAGTGGTGCTGAACGAGTGGTACTTAACAATTGGTCCTCAAAGTTCCAGCATTGCACACTTCCACAGGTCACGTTACCACAACCTGGCCACCTGACAACTACTGCACACTTACAAACGTTGCAGTGTCCCGTGGCGATTCCATCACCATTTGTGACTTTCCCTGCCAAGTTTCCACAAACCAAGTCAATGGGGAAGCCAGCAAGGAAGGTTGCAAGTTGCATGTTAAGTCTCTCTCACCATCAGATTTGAAATCTCTCATGTGTGTTGCTGCAACCACTCACGCACCCTCCCTCCCTCACCCAGCAGCAGCCATTCCCAGACCAAAAGTCGCTTATCCATGCCCCATACCTGCCAGTCAGCTTGCTTGTGAACCAACTGGGACTTGCAGCTTCCTACCAGCTTCTTCACTGATTTTAGTTGTTGGAACCCAGCAGGAAATTGCAAGGAAGCCCTTGCTTCACAACCTGCAATGCTCGCTTAACAACGGCAATAGCGACTACTGGGATTGCTGTTGCTAAGCAATGTGGTCGTGTGACATCACACTCTGCGAATGCATTGCTTAATGATTGAAATTCTGATCCCAATTAACATAATTAAGCAAGGACTACCTCTAATTTGAAATGTTAACCATCCCTGTCTCTGATTTAATCAGCAGGAGACATTATGTTTCTAATTCTTCTCATTTGGTTGGGTTTTGCAAAAAGAGGGCAGATCTGTGTGTATTTATTTACTTGTTCTTTTATTCAGAAGAGTGAATTCTGCAACGCATAGTAGAGATTTATATCAACATAAATTGGATGATTTCTTTTTTTTTTAAAGCAAATGTAATTACTTTAATTTTTAATTATCTTAAGCTCTTCTGGGAAACAAAGCATGGTCCTTGCATATACTGACAAAGCATGGTCCTTTCCATATACTGACAAACTTTTTCCTTCAAAAGGTTAAAGGATCGTCTTGACTGCGTACTAACACCACGGAAGACTTAGTCAAAGGGGAAATAGCAGAGATCTTGGGGCACAGTGTCCATGTAATACTAGACTTTTATTATTTTAATGGAAATGAAAGCTAAGTGTAATTGGCTGTAATATATAAGCTTAAAATAAGAGGATTTTAATGAATTCAGAGCAATTATTCTTGTGACAGGAGAAGCAAATGGAAAAAAAAAAGAGCTCAAAGTACGTGGATTAGTGTTCCTTAAAAAAGAGAGTTAAAAAGCACAAGTGCAGATGATTCCAATTTGAGAAAAAAACAAAAAACAAAACATGGAGCGCAGCAAAAGAAATCAGCGTGATTGCATAAAACATTTAGCGGAAGGTCTGAAAATACTGTAAAGCAGGGACTATTCTAGGACGGATGGGATGAGTAAAAGACAAAAAGAAGCCTTGGAGAAGTAGCCTGGAAATAGAAAGTGCTCAGGAAAGCTGAAACTCAAAAGGACTGCCAAGAATAATCGAAAGGACTTCTTTAGAGACCTTGAAAAGAATAAAAGAAAAGAATCAATATTCCAATTATGCGGTGAACTCGGCAAAAATGTAACAGATAGCCAAGCAAAGAAAGAGCAGTATGAATCTCCTTCAGACTCAAGCTTTAGCACTCCCTATAATCTAGCTTGGTGTTTTTTTCCAGTTTGGTAATTTTAGGATGCACTGAAGTCCCAGAATTCTCTACTTAGCATGCTAGCTGGGAAATTCTGGGAGTAGAATGCCACACATCTCAAAGTTGCCAAAGTTGACAAAAACACTGATGTAATTCAAGAAAGCAGGCAGCACCTTTGAGTGCTGCCTAAGTTCAGTAATGGTCTGGATGAGAGAACAAGGTGAACCCGGATCCAATGGCAGGGTTTCTGGACTTGGGAACTGAAGGGAAGTTTCAGCTGAAAAAGCAGGTCTATAGTCCAACAGTAGTCCTTGATCCCCTGCTGTCATTTACTCTCCAGGTAACATCTGTGTTAAGAGCTCCTTTCAATGCTATGGCTAGTGTCCCAACCACGACCTTTCCTGAACCAGTCTGACTCAGCAACAATTATCCACACCTTTCTTAAAATCCCATCTTGATTACTACAATATGCTTTACGCGGAGCGGTTTTTTTTGAGAAGTGTCGGAAGTTGCAATGAATATAAAATGTAGTGATCAGGCTGCTAAACAGTGCAAGATAAAAGGAATCACATGATGCCTAAATGGAAAGATCTGCACAGGTTGTCAGTTGTTTACTAAGCACTACTTAAAAGAGTCTGGCACTGACCATTAAAGACCTAAATGGCTTGGTCTTGCACATAGGGGGAACTTGCGAATTTGCCTAGTTACTTAGATCAGTAAGAGAGGCTCTTCTCAAGAGCCTTGTGGCTTATGGAAGAAGATCTGCGTAGTGCTGCCCCTAAAAAAGTGTGTTTGTTTAGCCCTCCGTTCATCCAGTCTTCAGAAAAAGGGCAAGACTCCCATCTCTTCTCACCAAGCTTTTCACTTTTAATGGAGCTGATTCTGGTAACATTTGTTGTAGGTCTGATATAAGGGCATTGTTTTAATTTTTCTCATTTGCATTTCTAAAATGTGAGCAGCCTTGAAGGACACGTCTGTCTCTATGGCTAGTGCCCCAACTGTTATCCAGGATAGAAGTTGATTAAATAAATAAAATATGAACACGATCATTAAACATTTTAAAGGATGTCACACAGAAGAAGACTGAGACCTCTCTCATCTCAGGCAGTAGGAAGCGGAAGAAGAGATTTGAACTATGCATATTCTTAATGAATGTCAGGAAAAGCTTCTTGATAGTAAAGCAGTGGACCCAATAACCCAGAGAGATGGAATTCAGGAGACATATTCAAGTGGAGACCAAAAGGCCATCCTTACCCCTGTTTTAATTTTGATTCTTGCACTAAGATGGGGATTGGACTCACTGATCAGATCTCATTGCTGTTTATAGGACTTGGCCTAACATAGCCTGCTTCCCCTGCAGTGTAACTGTTTGCATGAATCATCAGTTTTTGTTAGCCTTGTAAGACAGCACAACCAAGAATATTAACTCCATCTTACTATAAGGTTAGATCAGGGGTCTTCAAACTTGGCCCTTTTATGACTTGTGGACTTCAACTCCCAGAATTCCTCAGCCAGCGTGCCTGGCTGAGGAATTCTGGGAGTTGAAGTCCACAAGTCATAAAAGGACCAAGTTTGAAGACCCCTGGGTTAGATTAACAGAATCTTGCCAAGACAAAGTATTTCTCCGGAAAACTAGGGAGGGCCCCTTCTGAAATGATTCCCATTCCTTCTGTGGGCTGAGACATCTCTTACATGCCAGTTGTTCCTGTCTGTGGCTGTCCTGCCTGTCTCCCACGCTCATTCCCATACATCATTACAGTGGTTGTAGCATGCCAAGTGCAGGGTTTGCTAGCAACGTCTGCCTGTCTTCCTTTGCAGAGTGCTGGAGCCAGCTCGGATCCCGCCGGTGCCTCCCAAGGGCACTGAGACTGTACTGCGCAACTTGGAGGAGATGGTGGTGTTCTGCTCACAGCAGTGGGGGCAACAGAGCTCCCAGTCTGGGAGTCCCCCTAGCACCATAACTGAAGAAGCAGTCAGTAGGAGCCACCACCAGATAACTGCATGAGATTGACCAGGGAGGGGAAAGACGGTGAGTTGGTAGGTACGTAAACTTGTCCCCTGCCCTCTATGAAATAATTGGGGTGTGTCATTTTCTAGGCTGCCAGAATGTGGATTGTGGTGTCTAGAAGAATTCTTACAGCCTGTCTCCTTAGCTAATACTGCATGGAAGTCTGGCCACCCAAGCCTGGAGCATGGAAGCCTTGAATTGGGCTTGCCTGAGATCTAATCCAGCATGTGGCAGGGTTGGGGCCAGAGAGATTGGTCTTCTGCCTTTCAACCAGGTGCCCAGTTTGATGCGACACTAGATTCCTGCTGCATTAGCAGGAATTGCAAAGCAGGCAGTGTCAGTTGGGGAGGAGATAACATGTCAAGGTTTGCCACAAATCCCTAAAATGATGATACATTCAGGACAGAATCTGGAGAAGAAAGTAGAAATACTTCAACTTTTGCACCGGTGGAGGGAAAGTGTTATATCACTACTGGGCATTGCAGCAAATTGTGGGGAAAAGGAATGGCCAGCATAAAATATCATGTGGCCCATAGGATGCCTACCTTTGCACTGAAGATCCTGACTGTTGCTCCATTTACAACTAGGATTTTTCTCTTGGTTTATGAATCCTGACTTACTTGGAAGAATAAGCTATGATCCCCCTCGTTCAGATGATAGGCTAAACAAACTCTTTTGTGTTTGCTTAATAGAAGCATTAAACAAGAAATAGTAAAGAGGTGCTTCACATAGATCAGAATTCTCTAGAATCTTGAGATACTGTTCAGGGAGTACTTTCTGCCTCCAGGTTTACTTTGTAAACTCTCCCAGTAGATGCAACAAGCCTTGCTCTGCTTGAGAAATTTCCATGTGGTTTAATTCCTCTTTTGCTTAGCTTTGAGTAGTCTTAACTATGAAACTGCTGTTGCAGGTGCTTGACCTGCGGGAACCAGCTTGTCCTCCGTCTCATCTCTTTTTCTTGTTTTTCCTCAGATAAACCATTGTTGGTTCAGGACTTCCCAGTGGACTCAGCTGGTGGCAACCAGCCAGCATAATCTGGATTTTTTTTGGTGCTTTCTCAGCTCCTGGAATCAGCTCGGCTGCTCTTGAACTGAAACAGTCTGTCTGGGGGTTTCTCCTCTAGCTTAGGACTTACCAGCAGGCAGGAAGGGCTCCAGGTACCACAGGCAGCATCAGTCCTGTTTTTCAGGCTTGTGCTTGCCGGGGGTTGGAGAACGCAACCCGTATATTCCAAAATAGATGCTGGCACTTAGGGGATGGGTTGGGAAGAAAAATAGGGATTAGCTCTTCAGGCTAGGTTGGTAGGAAAGAAGAGGTCGCTCTCAAAAGCATATAGAATGATTAGTCATTTCATACCAGACAAGTCTTATATATTTGCATTTGGCCATCTGAGATACTTTGAGCCTGTAGGAAGTGTGGCCTGTTGCAGAGGCAGAATACAATCTTCTGCCAGCGATCCTGCTATAATTGTCTGAGGGAGCCTTTCGGTCAGGAATTCAGTCCAGATGCAAGCAAGGGAGATCTTGCTGAGCTCCTCGTCTTTTCTCAGCAGGGGTTTTTCCCGCCTGAGATTTGGACTTCCCCCACAGAGCTTGCTGAGTAGGATAGAGGAGTCCCTCGGAGCTCATCAGAATGCTCTTTGGTTCTACGTTAGAGCAGCACAGAGCAAATGTCCACGGTAATAGGACAAGCAGCCTCTCTGGACCTCCGATCTGAAAGTGAAGTTGGGTTCCCTCACGTTATCAGTCTCATGCCTTTTGCATAAAAGAGTGAAGTGTTAAGTCTTTCGGGAATTGCCTGCCCTCTTTTTGTACAGACGCCCGGCAGCCTTGTGGACATCTGCCTCCATCTCTGTTTGAAGCTCTCTCGCAGGAAGAGCCCAGCCAAGGACGAGACTCTAATTTTGAATGAAGACTTTTAATTTTGAAACGAATGCAGTGTCGCGGCTATATGTTTTTTTCCCTGTGGGATGGAAGTTGGCACCACTGGGGTTTTCCGCCAGAAGCAAAGCCAAAAACAAAACAGCCTCTTTTCAGGGTGGCCTGATATAGACCTAGAAAACAAGGCAACCTGCATGTGGTCTCGCCTGCGATACGGCAAAGGGGGGGGGGGAAACAAGTTCAGGAACACCTGGAACGAATCCCTGTCTCTGCCGCTGAACAGGTGGTTGCAGTTTTATATAAAGAATTGTTGCATCACTGAAGCCCAGTGCAAAACTGAGAGGCAGGTGACTCATAATGGCAGAAACAAATTGGGAAACAGCAGGGCACTATTTCTGGCTCCCCTAGTGTTTTTTTTTTTCCCCTCCATTGGAGAGATGTCTTGTTTGGTTTATGTTTAATTTCTTTCTCGGGGCATTTTATGTAATTGAACAAGGACTAGATTTTTCTGGAGCTTTAATTCTAATTAAACCTGAGCAAGAATCCACCATTGCATAGTCAAAGCCAGGTATCCTTCTGTTACTTTTTGGAGCATCCCAGGAAGGCTGAGAACCAGTTTGGGATAATGGTTAAGGCATCAGGCTAGAAACTAGAGGACTTTGAATTCTAGTTCTGCCTTAGGCGCAAAGCCAGTTGGGGACCTTGGGCCAATCCTTCTCTCACAGCCCTAGGAAAGAGGCCAGGGCAAACCACTTTGGAAAATCTTGCTAAGAAAACTGCAAGGATTTATCCAGGCAGTCACCAGGAGTGTACATTGATTCAAAGGTGCCCACACATGCACACACACACGCACACACACAAAACGATAGACAAGAAATTCCTACAGAGGAGACAACCCTCCTTTGCCTCCAACTACTAGCCTTGCCCCACTGGAAGTGTCTTTGGGTGGCATAGCACCCCATTGTGTAATGGGGCAGAACGCCCAAGAGTTACAACGTTAAAGGAAACTGGGCCCCAGATCTCACAAGATACACCAAGACTTGCACAGTGTCAGTGATTTTTGTTGGTATTCTTACTTGAAATCTTGTGAAAGCTCATACAAGAGCCATTAAATCTTTACTGGATTGGTCAATTTTGCAAGATCCCATCTGTTATTTGATTTTAGGATTCTGCTGGGTGTCTTGACTAGGCCTGGCAAAGAGTTGGGGTGGTCAGCATTTGGATAGCTCCTCATTTAAGCTCTAGGACAGGTGTCTTCAAACGTGGCCACTTTAAGACTTATGGACTTCAACTCCCAGAATTCCCCAGCCAGCCATGGCTGGCTGGGGAATTCTGGGAGTTGAAGTCCATAAGTCTTAAAGTGGCCATGTTTGAGGACCCCTGTTCTACGAAATATGTGCAACGCTAATTTCGAAAGAAGGACTTGTTCATGAAAAGTTTGGTGTGCTGTATTTATACATTGGAGCTCTCTTCTTTTCCTTCTTTTTTATTTATCGAATTTATGTGATCATCCATCTCCACAAAGAGAGGCTCTGAGCAGTATACAATGGAAGCATAAAAACAACAGTATTTTTAAAAAATTAAAAATCACAAGGTGCAAGAGAGAATAGATGTTAACAGTCACCTCAAGATCTTACCAGTTTCCTGGGTCTACCCTGCCTGATGACAACGATTTTTTAATTTATATCCAGGGTTATCTAAGCACGATTGGGCCTGGTTCATTCTTGGATGGGCATTTACTATGAAATTCTAATACTTCAGCCTGAACTAGATTTTTTTAAAAAATGCATCCTCAAAGGAGGCAGTGGCAAATCCCTTCCCAGTGTTTCCAAGAAAATTACATGGATCTGAGAAAGTCATCTAAAATCATGCTGGACCCAAAGGTGATTTGATTTTACTTTCTAAAAGTGACCCCTGCAATACAGCTAGTCCTCAGCTTACGACCACAACTGAGCCCAAATTTTCTATTGCTAAGTAAGACAGTTCAATGACTTTTGCCTCATTTTACAACTTCTCTTGCCACAGTTGTTAAGTGAATCACTGCGGTTGTTAAGTTAGTAACCCAGTTGAGTGAAATCTGGCTTCCCCATTGACTTTGCTTGTCACAAAGTCATCAAAAGGTGATTGCATGACACCCCTCCCCCCCGGGACACTGTGACTGTCACAAATACTTGCCGGTTGTCAAGTGACCGAATTTTGATCATGTGACCATGTGGATGCTGCAATGGTTGTAAGTGTGAAAAATATGTCACTTTTTTCAGTGCCGTCGTAACTTCAAATGGTCACTAAAGGAATGGTTGTAAGTCAAGGACTACCTGAATTTTTAGTCTAGATCGGGTAGGCAACCTCGGCTCTTTTGACTCGTGGACTTCAACTCCCAGAATTCCTGAGCCAGCATGGCTCAGCTTCGAAACCTCTCCCTTTCCCCTCAGCATGGCTGGCTCAGGAATTCTGAGAGTTGAAGTCCATGAGTCATAAAAGAGCCAAGGTTGCCGACCCCTGGTCTAGATTCTAAAATCTTGCATTGTTAGTGGCAGTGGTGTAAATGCAATGTACGATAGTGATTCCAGAATTTTCTTTTGTATTCCCCACGGTTTCCCTTCCACTCCTTGGTGTCTTTGTGTTGGTGCCATGGTGTTTAAAAAAGTAACTGATGGTGACCTTGCTAGAATACTCCCAACCCTGATAAAGAATGGAGATTTAAATTGGGCCACGTGGTATTTATTTATTATTTATTTATTTCTAAAATTTATATGCCGCCCAATCCCAAGGGACTCAGGGCGGCGTACAAAATTAAAACAATAACCTGACAATAAAACAATAAAATAAATACATTCATACAGCGTGTCCGATCATATCCCCCCCACCCCCCCACCCCCCGGGGACATCAGCCCCAGGCCTGCCGGAACAGGAGAGTTTTAATGGCTTTCTTAAAGGCCGGCAGGGTGGGAGTAGTTCGAACCTCGGGGGGAAGTTGATTCCACCAGGTCAGAGCCACCACAGAAAAGGCCCTTCCCCGAGGGCCCGCCAGCCGACATTGTCTGGCCGACGGGACCTGAAGGAGGCCCAATCTATGGGACCTCACCGATCTCTGGGAACTGTGTGGCAGTATGCGGTCCTGTAAGTAACCTGGCCCTATGCCATGAAGGGCTTTAAAGGTGATAACCAACACCTTGAATTGCATCCGGAGACCCACAGGAAGCCAGTGCAGCAAATGGACTTTTGAGTAGGTAGGCCCTTTTCCCACCTGACCAAGTTGTCTTGTAGGCTGGTTCCCAGAATGTGGACTTTGCTTTTAGAGCCCCTCTCCCAAGAGGTCTACCTATTGGGTTTGAGATGATCCATGGGGCCTTTGCAGAAACCTCGTCCCAGGTCTAAGAGCTGGGCCTTCACTTTCCCTTAGGGCAGGGATAGGCAACCTTGGCTCTTTTATGACTCATGGACTTCAACTCCCAGAATTCCTGAGCCAGCCATGCTAAGGGGAAAGGGAGTTTCCAAGCTGAGCCATGCTGGCTCAGGAATTCTGGGAGTTGAAGTCCACAAGTCATAAATAGCCAAGGTTGCCTACCCCTGCCTTAGGGAAAAGCACAGCATGCCACATTATTTTCTTTAGCCCCAAAACCAGTGGTGCCAATGGTACAGGTAGTCCTCTAGTTTAGTGACCACTGAAAAAATTGACTTATGACTGGTTTTCACACAGCCGTTGCAGCATCCCCAGGGTTACGAGATCAAAATTCAGACACTTGGCAGCTGTCTCATATTTGTGACGGTTGCAGTGTTCTGGGATCATGCCATCCCCTTTTGTGACCTTCTGACAAGCAAAGTCAGTGGGAAAGCCAGATTCACTTAACATTTGCATTACTAACTTAACAACTGCAGCGATTCACTTAACAACTGTGGCAACAAGGTCATAAAACAGGGAAAAACTCACTTGTCTCACTTAGCAACAAAAAAATCGGGTTCAGTTGTGATCATAAGTCAAGGACTACCTGTATTTCTAAGTGACTAAATGATCATTGCATGGGCACATAACTCAGGTCATCTCAGTTGTGGAATGGATATTTTCTCCAGGTGCATCAAACTATCTTGCCGTTAAAACATCTGAATTAAACTGAAAAATGTGCAGAGAGAAAAACTCTTTATGGAATTCTTTCTATTTGGTGATACCCAGATTGCTCTAGGCTAGGCGGATGTCTTGAAAATGGGAAAGTAGTTAAAGCACAAACTAAAGAGTTTTTTTTTTATTGAACATTTTTATAAATTTTTACAAAAAAGACAAAAAAACAGAAAAACAGAAAAAAAATACAACAATCCAAAAACAAAAAATACAAAATACACAAAAAACTAAACATAACATCCCCTTCCGCACCCCCCCCAAAACACCCCCCCTTCCCCCCCCTGAGCTTCCCAGAGCAGAATATAGGCTTAATTGAAAAGGAATTAGAAAATATATATGTAAAAAGGAAATGAAAGTTTAAAACTAGGAAATATATATATATAAATTATAAAAAGGCAACATGATATTTTTAATATCCAATTTAAATTGTATAAATTGTATCCATTTATCCCAAACAGCAAGAAATTTCTCTTGCGTTTGATCCTTTAAAAAAGCCGAAATCTTTGCCATTTCCGCCAGATAAGACACTTTAGAAAACCATTCCTGCAATGTAGGCAAGGATTCCTTCTTCCAATATTGTCCTACTAACAGCCTTGCGGCTGTGATCAAATTTAACATCAATATAGCCTCCTTTGAATCACAATCAATAGTTATACCCAACAAAAATAACTGCGGAGTAAATTTTACCCTCCTTTTAAAAATTCTCTGGATATTCCACCATATCTTAATCCAGAATGCTTTTATCTCTTTACACGACCACCAAATATGATAATAAGTGGCATCCAAACAGTCACATCTCCAACATTTAGGCTGTAGGTCAGGGTACATGAAAGACATTTTTTGTGGGTCAAGGTGCCAAACTAAAGAGTTTTTAAAAGCGGCTTAAGACTGGCAAAGCTACAGTTAGATTTATACTAGGAAGGGGCCATTCCACAAATGGACCAACACAAAGAAGTTGCCTCTACCAACTGCAAATAGTGGACTTGATTGTGAGACTATTGGAGTGCTCGGCTTAAGAATGTTGGCTTTTTGCAAGTGGCAGAAAATTGTAGAAAAATGGGGGGGGGGTGAGGGGAATCCTAGAAAATTACAAAGTGATCTTCACTATCTTGGACCGCATTTTGCCAGGAGAAATCTAGAATTTACCATGAAAGTCCATTCATTCATTCATGTATGCAGATTTATGTCACTTTTTATCAAGCTCACTCTAATATACACAATTACAATAATTGTGAATACAATTTACTGTAAATACAACTTATAATGAAACAAAGACACACTCAAGATAGTGTTCCAGGTGTATTATTTGGGCAGCAGAGGTAATTCACGTCTGAAGACCTGAAAACAACGAATTTGCTCATCAGTATGTTGTGGGGCACTTTGTGAAATGTTTTGCTTAAATCAAGATATATTGCATCCTCAGCATTCCCACAATCTATTAAGAAGGGTAGTCAGTTAAGAAAAATGATTTGATTAACAAAATTTGTTCCAGTCAAATCTAGGCTGTTATCAGATACTGCATTATTTTAAACTGCACACAGTGCAACCTTTCAATTATCAATTGTAGAATCTTCCTAGCTTTCAGTGTCTCATCTGACAGGTCTGTAGCTTATTTGAATTTATTTTTTCATACTTTTTGAACATAAAGAAGACTCTTACTGTTCTCGCACCTCTAATTCTTTAGAATTTCTTTTTGAAAAAAGGTGTTTCACAAGACCATAAGCTAGTTCTTTCAGTAGCCAAAGAATTCATCTGCTCCTGAAAATTTAAAATGATTCACAGTGAGGAGATATTTCCTGACTATGTCTGCTTCAGTCTCAAGCTTCAGACCTACCCCTTTGTCTTGCTCTTCCTGATGGAACACCAAGTTTTTCTACTATATGATTTAACCAACATAGGAACTGCAAGCTCTGCCTTTTTTCACTACATGTTCATATTTTAATCTTTTCCACTGGACAGATATCATACTGATTTTTTGTCTTGTGATTTTACTTTAAACATCTCTAAAAAGCCCC